TAATAATAATAATAATAATAATAATAAACTGAAAGTTAAAATAAAATAAGATATTTATTTAAAAAAAAAATTATAACTCATTTCAAAGTTGAATCGCTTAACTTCATTTATTGACAAGAACATATTTATATTACTATAGGACAATTATTGATAAAGCAAGTTAATATACAAAATTATTAATTATTTTGCTATAGGACAATTATTGACAAGAATATATTTATAAACAAAATATTATACATGATGTTTATTTTAACAATAATATATTATAACTCATTGCAATTAATTTTCCTACATTAAAAGACTACAGATTATGAGTAGAATCAAAATTTTATGTTGTGATTTTCCTTTAATACTTGGTTTAATGGTATTTTAAAGGGATATATTATTGACGAGAACATATTAATCGAATTGACTATTTATAATTAAAGTATAGTATTTTTTAATTCAATTTTATCATAAAAATAATAAAATATAATTCGTTAAAATCGTAAGAAGAAATTTGTTAATCCTAAGATTTGAATCAGTTAAAATCAAGTTTTTCCAATTCGTAAGCTTTATTCAAAGATTTGAATTGATTATGCTCAACTATTGACAATGGTGTATTAATCAAATTAACTATTTATAATTTAAGTAATATATATTTTAATTGAATTTTATTATAAAAAAATAATAAATTTATTTTGTAAAAATCATAAGAATCAATTCGTAAATTCTAAAATTTAATCAATTTTTTTACATTTACATTTTATTCAAATATTTAAATAGAATTTTAAGATTTAAATCAATTAAGCTCAAGTCCTTTTAATGTCTTTTTTTTTTTTTTTTTATTATATTACATTTTTTCAATAATTTAACTAACATTGTTTTGATAATAATGAATATGCTAATTAATAATTTTTTTTCTAATTAAAAAAATTAGTAATCTATTTAACATTATTTATGCTAATTATTTTACACTCTTAGTTTACGATATATAGAGGTCTTGCTAGTTGTTGAATAATTATATTGCTATGTCACAGTGGTTCGATCCTCAGCCATCGCATTTTTTGATTAAAATTAAAAATCCGCCATGCATCCTGCTCGAACCCTTCCTGACCCGCCTCGGACCGGATCTGCCTCCCGCGGTTTGGGTTTCGGGGGCCACAAAACTCGGGTCAACCATTAAATTTGGAACCAACACCCCAATAAGGGTATAAATGGTATAAAGTTTAAACAAAAATAAAAAAATAATTAAAAATTAAATTCTGGCCAGCCAGATTCTGGCCATTTAGCATTGTCCTTCAAAATATTGCACCTATGAAATAGATGCAAGGTAATTCTCTATCTCCCACCATCTCTCAATAGTGTTTAAGGTTTTTTTTTTATATATTCATTACAATTATTAATAATAATTAAAATGTTTTGTTTAACCGTTCAAGCATAAAGAACACGTTATTCGCTGGCCCTTTTACGAGGTAAGGTTGTTATGGCAATTGTGGTTTCGAGCATTTCCGTTCAAGCATAAAGAACACGTTATTCGCTGGCCCATGGCCCTTTTACGAGGTAAGGTTGTTATTATGGTAGTCAAAATCGGGATTCTAGGTAGAATCGAAAAGCAAGTGTAGAATCGTAATCGTAAAATCGGATCGTAAAATCGTAGGATTTTAAGTATCTTCTATATTAAATATATAAAATAACTCCTCAAACATATAAAAAATCCCAAAACATCTTAACATGATAGAACCAACTAAGAGAAATTTAACTTACGTAAATTTAACTAAATGCAACTTATAAGATTAATAATCAAATGAAAATTGATGAAAATTTTGAAACATAGAAGACTGGAATTATAAGATTTTGAAACACGGTGGAGTAAACTCTCAAATTGGAAAAACAACAAGATTCCACACTTTCTAATATAAAAATAAAAAGAACAAAAAAAATCTTTCAAAACGAAAAAAAAAATTCGAAATCATTATGTCTATCGCTCATCGATTAATGTACTTCTTCATTCTTCGACCGTTGGGATGCTCGAAACCACAATTTCCATAGCAACGTCCCGTTGCGCCTCGTAAAGGAGCAACGAAGAACGTGTTCTTTATGCTTAAACTATTAAAGAAAAAAAATTTAATTATTATTAATCATTACAACTGAATATATATATATAAAAAAGCCTTAAGCATTACAGAAAAACAAAAAAAAAAAACAAGAAGAAGAATGAAGAAGATGAAGAAAAAAGTTGATTGATTACCAAACATGCAGCTCCTTTCAAGAACAACCCTTCTCTGAAAAGATTCTTGCATTTCTCTTTCCGGTACATCCCAATGTTATTTGATGGTTTCATAGAAATTAAATTTTTAAATAATACGACGATAAGAACATTCTTTTGTGTTGGCGATCAGAGAATACGAACTCAGGTTAGAACAATCATGGATTTTTAGATGATTTATAAATGAATGTCCTACCCTTAATTATACAACTCCACCTCACGGTGATCGACTTCATCTAATGGCTAGAAATTGTTCTCTCGAACACTTCAAATATTTCCTACAAATATAGAAATTGTTCTCTAGAACACTTCAAATATTTCCTACCACATATCTACTACCACATATCTACCAAGGAAGGTTTTAGAAGATATTCTAGAATTCTCTATGAAACTCTACAAATCCTTGCTTTCCAAATTTTATTTAGCATCTTGAACGATCAATTACATATTATAACAATAAAGATTATATTACCTTTAATCAAATGTGTTTGCATTATCAAATTTGTGTATGAACATTGATGTTTATGTTGATGTTTCTTTATTAATGAAATGCTATCCCAATACACATGAGCAATAATACTCCTATTATTCAAAATATATATCATATTCCAAACATAAAGAAAAAATATGTTGATGTTTCTATATTAATAAAATGGCTATCCCATGCATACACATGAGGAAAAAAATACTCCTATTATTCAAAATATATATCAATTACGAAGATCATATCAAAGAAATATGACTATTATTCAGTATCAAATAAAATATGAAGACAAGACAAAAGACTAAATATGACTATTATTCAATATTAAAGAAAATATGAAGACAAACAAGAAGACTCCAGATAAGGACACAAGTACTTAGATAAGGACACAAGAAGACTCCAGATAAGGACACAATTACTCAGATAAGGACACAAGTACTCCTCATGTACAAGGTGATTATAAGGACATCCATAGTATTGAACCGACTATCCAAGTTGTAGAGAAAAATATTTTCTACTTGTCGAAGTACAAGCACAAGTGGATACCAATTTGGCACGAAGCACTCCAATCGAATCCTATCCATCCGATTCTTCTCGGGATTCGGAACATGAAAAAACACGCCCAACGATTCAATGTCGATATCGTGGACCAACTCGCATTCACGGCAAGGTATCGTTTTTTTTCCGCTTGTAAGTCATTCTACCATCTTCTTCTTCACCCTTGGGCAATTTATAGATTTGGATTTTGTCGGGGTTGATTGTTCCAAACCATAATGTGTTGTCGACAGACGACCTTGTTATAGCTCGTAGAACCGCACTATCCAAATACGGGATCTTGATCAATTGGACGTGGCCCGTTTCATCGCTAGGGTCGTAGAGTGCAATCTGCCAATTGTACGTGTACCAGTGGAAAACGCCTTTCGCCACCAACGGGGCCCCGGGCAAGGGGTGCAGGATGAATCCCCCTGTGCGAACGAGCATCGATACTATGTAGCTGTTGTCCCCCTCCCACGCGGTGACCATGAATCCGATCGTCCAATCACGGTAGTATCAGGGGCGGTACTACATAGGGGCAGGGGGCAGTTGACCCCAAGAATTTTTTTTTTATGTATCTTAACCCTTAATTCTTTTGTTTATTCTCCACAATTTTATATAAATTATAGATTTATATTATATTTAATATAAAAACATAAAATAAAATGGTTAAAACTTGTACTATTTTAAATAAAATTTATGAATATTTACTTATCGATCTTTGATTTTTTATATCAATGTCTCTAAAAAATAATACGAGACGTGGCGGCGGTGACAGTTGGACCCACTTTTTGGTCACCGGATTCATGACGTGGTACTTGTACGGGTGGCGGCCACAGAGGACTAAAACCTCGGAGGAGTTGATGAAGTATCCTAGTTCCTTTAAGGGTTTTTGGGGGCAGATGTACGAATATCTATGATTCTCGGATGTGTTTTCAGAGAGAGTTGTGTTTATGTTTTTGTACGTCTATATATAGGAAAAATAGACATCTAATTGTAATGTGTTTATACGTGTATATATAGGAAAAATAAACATCCTAATTGTAGTGAAAGTAGGAGAGGTCCAAGATAAATAAAAAAATTAAAAGGTACATAAATATTTTTAAAAACTAAATTAATAAATTAATATACTCCATATATATAAGTTATAACTATTTGTAATAGGGCTTAAAGTTCAATGGATTAGATTGGAAACAGGTTTTTGAAAAATTTGAAGGATCTTATTCCAATTTTTGAATTTTCGAAAATCAGAAATTTGTTCCAATTACATTTTTTTATTTCCGTTCCTTAATTAAAGATAAACCAAAAGAATTCATCCATCTAATTGGCTGTCTATTTTGTGGCAAGTCATCAGCTTTGGGGAGATTTAAGAAGAAAAAAAATCTTATTCTTATTAATGAATTTATATTTATAATTAAAAACAAAAAAAAAATATTTGTAATCTAAAAAATCTCATTCTCTTCATTAACATTTACCGAACTAAAATCGGCTAGATTGGATGACGTTTACCAAAGTTATTCATAAATAAGTCATATTATGAATTTTACATAATTCAAAACATCAAACTTAATTACGGGCAATGTTCATTTGGTTAATGTACATCTTTCTGATCCGACATCCAATTTCAATGATCCAAATTAGATTAGAAAACTAACTAAAACTTCTACAATTCTATGTTTCGAATTTTGCAAATTTTAAAGTAAAAAAAATTGATCAAAAATGGCGTTTGAAGTTACACTCAAAACTGAAAAATTCAAGTAATTAAAACATGACTTAAAAATACTAAATTTGCAAATCACTGCATATCAAAATCAAACTAAATTTAAATCCCTAACCGATGAACCAAAAATTATATTTGCAGAATTTCCATTCTGCATGCAACAAAACATCATGAAAAATTCAAATTGATATTATATTAGTCATAGCAATCTCAGTATGGTCGACATAATCGGGGCTCGTACGATCTGCTGCAGCGGCCGCCATTTCAGCGAGCTTGACAAGGCTCCCGGTTGCAAGAATTGCCTTTGGATTAATATCATGTAGAGCTCTTGCGTTCAGACATCTGCATGCAGAGATGGCTGTCTGAAAAAGCTCGTCGTCGTTGTTGTTGTTGTTGTTCTTCTTCTTCTTCTCCTCTCCCATTAAACAGTGGCCTAGAATTCTCAGAACCGGCTGAAGAAGCTCCCATGGCATATTTATTCTCCCTCCGACGGAGGAGGATGGTGTCGTTTTTTCGGGGTTGTCGGAATGTTGAGGAGGGTTGTTTTCGTTTAGGGTTTGGTCGGAGAATTGGCCGGACCAAATCTTGCAGAACTCGCAGAATTCGATCTTGGAACCGATCGGGATTCGGGAGATTTTGGTGTAGTAGAGCTCGAGGGCGACTCCGACGATTCTTGGGCGGCGCGTGGATCGGACGGTGCCGTGGGGCTCGAGGGTTGGGGAGATGACGGCGAGGTGGAGCTCGGTGGAGCCGTTCTTGGCCGCCGTCTGTTTGGTTTCGTGGTAGATGCTGGAGTGGGCGAGGTCCGGGATGCTGACGGTGACGGCCTGGCCGTTGCGGGCGGCGGTTTCGTGGCCGTAGATGGCGAGGAGGACGGATTCGAAGCCGGCGAGGGGCTTGTTCAGGGCGGCGCGTGTGAGGTACGCGCCGGCGAGGACGGGGAGGAAGCGGAGGACGACGAGCTGGAGGTCGGGCTCGGAGGAGTGGAAGGTGTCGTAGAGCCAGGCGCAGAGGTTGTCGTTGGCGCCGCCGGAGTCTGGGCGGCGGAGGAGGAGGGAGATCTGGGCGGCGACGTCGGAGTCGTGGAGGAGGGAGGTGGCGGGGGTTTCGGAGGAGGAGAGATGCGGCGGGAGGGAGGGGAGGATGGCGGAGAGGGCTTCGATGGCGAGGTGGGCTTTGGAGTACGAATCCGACCATGTTATGTGGGGTTTGTGGTTGCTTGGGGTGGTGGCGGTAGCGGCGGCGGCGGCGGCGGCGGCGGCGGTGGCTTTTTCAGGGGATGAATTTATTATTTCTTCATCTTCTTCCATGTTTACGGAGATTTGAGATTATTTCTCTTTTTTTTCTTTTTTTTAGAAATTTGGTGAAATTTTGTTTTAGATGAAAGGAGAAAAATAAGGAGAATTATGTGGATCTTTATTTATTTATTTATCTTTTATATTTTTTTATATTCTCATTATACCTTTTTTAGCTCATAAATAATCAAATATGATATCGAAACAAAAATTCAATAATCAAATAATCGAAAAGTGACGATCTTGGATATTTCAATATATAGTACTTAAAGTTCTGATTTTAATTGGAGATTTTGTGAGGGTCCATTTGGATGGGGGGATTTGGGGAGGGATTTGATTTGGGGAATGGATTTGAAATGACTCCCTTAATTATTATTATTTTAATTAAGGGTCTATTAGATATAACCCCCTTAAACATTCAAATAATAGGGGTAGACCCAAATTTATATTTGCCATTTTGATAACAGTCCAAATTTTTCCTAATTACATAATTACCCTCAATCAAATCCCACAAAACCCGTTACTTTACCTTTTGAAATAAAATCAAATCCCTAATCAAATCCCTTCCTATTTTTCCGTTAAATCACTATCATCCCAAATCCACTATCGAATAAACTGCAAAACCTCCCAGAACAACTTCCCGGTACGGCCGATTGAAAGGGGAAGACGTCTGCACTGCCGTGAAACGACAATTTTCGTGCACTCCGAGCAAGCTGTCGTAGGTACGTCATCGCCACTCGCTGAATCGCTATCATCCATCGATTTGTTGATATGTTTTGGCTAAATCGACTATTACGTTTGTGTAATTGCAGATCTGTTATAATCGCATACCGAATTCGAGCACTTAATCAGTGATATTGCAACAATTGATGGGCAGAACATCCACCAGAAGTGATATCGTCTTTGGCCGCCGCCGTCGCCGTCGCCATCACTGCTCCAATCTAGGGTTACTCAAATCTAGGATTACTCAAATCTAGGGTTTTGATAATTCTTCGGCCCATAGTTGATTAACGAGATGCATAGTCGAATTACATCTGTATTAATATACTATCCCATATCATTTAAAAGACTATCCCACTGGTATAATTTTACTATGGATCTCGTTAATTGACTATGGGCCGAAGAATCATCAAAACCCTAGATTTGAGAAGTGACGGCGGCGGATTTGTGTTTTAAAATTAATAGACTATCTCATATCTTTTAATAGACTATCCCATGTACCTAATTCGACTATGGGTTTAGTTAATTGACTATTGGAAAAATAATAATATATATGGAAACTGAATAATATGTTTGTTTGAAATACTAATCAATTAGGGTAATTTTTCTTATTATATGAAAACGATTAAGGTAAATAATAATATATATGAAAAAATAATAATATATATGGAAACTGAATAATATGTTTGTTTGGAATACTAATCAATTAGGGTAATTTTCCTTATATCATGTAATAGACTATCTTATTGATCTAATTCGACTATGGATCTCGTTAATCGACTATGGATCCCATATTATTCAACCACATAGTATATTAATAATTTCAATATAGTACATTGATCTGCTATGATAGTATATTACGGTTATAGTAGTGATATGAATTGTGTTACAAACAATATACCACTGAAATGACAAGAACATTGAGAACAACACCAACGTAAAGTATTCCAACATAACCAATAAAATAGTACATTAATAATCTCATAATTTCAATCTAGGGTTTTGATAAAATACATAAAACACATCATAACACAATCAAACCAATATGTCGAGTTAAAAAACTCTAGTACATTAATAATCTCATAATA